ATTTATAGTTAGTGTGTAGTAATCTCACCAATAAGGCATGTTTAAAATAAAAATATACCAATGCATTTGTAATGCCTGTTACCATAGTAGAAGTCTTAATCAAGTAAGAGCTTCTTGTAAGAGTAGGACAAGAGTCATATTATAGGTCTAAGCACCTCGGTTTCTACCCGTGATTCCTACATTGATGTATACCAAAACTTTCAAGCAACATTTTATTCGTAGAAAGACTTCACTCTAATCAATAAATATAGAACAATTACAATGTATCGTTATGTTAAGTTGGAAATGATGATTTTACCTCTAGCCCTCCAAATATTTCCCCGTTCCAGAGGAGCATGTTGCCATGGTGATCTTGTAATGGCTGAGGTGTCAGCTCACCCCTGAGGTGAAGGACATGGCCTTGTAGGAAGAGTTGTCTGCCCTTACTGCCAACATCAATTAGCTGTGAGCTGCTACAATCAGGTCCTCTTCTTCCTATTCTTGAATTCTTCTCAATAAAGTCCTGTAAACCATAAAAAGCAATTTGAAAAGAGTATTTTAATGGAAATAGAAACAATTCAAATGATTTTTAAATTTATATAATTTACATCAAAAAGGGATACAATTTACTTACATAAATATACATATTTTCAAAATATATATAAAACACAGTCTTATTATTTTACATTTCTTTTTGTTTCTTCAAAAATTCTTATACTTAGTTTACCAAAAGTATTTCACATACAACAGCACACAAAACCACTGTCACAACTGAGTAAAACCAGTTTTACACGGAGTACATAAATATATTTTATAGTAAAACTTCACACTGAGATTATCCACAAATATAACTTGTTAGTATATACGTCTCTGCATTTACTTAATAAAAAATCATCTTCGAATCCCTGGTTGAAAATATTGTAACGTGACGGGGAGGAGGTTTCCAGAATACAACATTTCACAGCAGAGTTCTATTTACAAGTTTATTTACACTTTATATACAATGTACAACATCATGGTCAGCATAGTCCATAACAACACCTGAGAGAATCCCTTAGCTAATTTACCTCAGCTAAGCTATACAGGAGACAGCCTAATCACGTCTGTATTCCACTAGATCACTCCCTTTTCTCCCCGGACCCCCACGCTGGTCTCTCCCCAGCTATTACTCCTAGGTGTACCTGACGACAACCCTGTAGCAGTGACAGCTCCCATGACCTTAAAGGTCAACTCACCGGCTCAGCCATGTGCCAGCCTGCCTGCTATCAGTATGGTCCCCCCTCCCAGTGTCAATTAAAGCCTGTACTAAATACATGACCCATCATCCTTATCAACCCATTACTCTTAACACAATATACACGATTAGGGATATACAAACACCAAATTATCACAATATGTTAAGAACTTGTATAATAGTAGCATGATTACCAAACAGAGTGAAATTGGACAGACATATTAAATGATATGAACTAAGCATTAACCAGTCCTTCTTATTTTTTACTGGTCCAGGACTAATGGACTAGTGTTAGTGTCAAACCCTGCATGTATTCATAATGTTTGATTTTGAACCTTTTATCTAATAAATGAAAAGTATTTGAATGGTGTATCCACAGACTGCAGTCAAATTCAAAGCCAATTAGATTTTATTTATCAATGCATGTGTGATGATGATCATGTAACACATTATGCAAGTTTGCAGGAAAGTGTGTACAAATACTATTCACCTTCCAGTCCACATGGTCACTGTCTTGTGTGTTGCTGCATATGCAGCAGATACCACACATGTCTGGGGTTTGTGACTTTTAATACAGGAACCTGTTGAAGACAAAAAATAAACAGAAGGTTAATCAAATTTTCAAATGAAATTATATATGCAAAATGCACGAGTAGTTTGCAAGCAGCTTGGTTCTCTTTTCTTATATTTGTATTAGATATTAGATAAAGAACATTACAGTGTTGAGATGTTCATTCTTATAATTTCAATATTGGAAAAACATAGGACAAATGTCCCAGTGTGAATGAAATAATTGATCAGCTAGGATTGAGAAATTAAAAATTCAGCTGTACAAGCTGCCCTATACAAGCATATCCCAGAAATATACGAAATCTTATAGTCTAATCATATATTTACTGGACATTATTTGAACAAACTGCTGAAGATTGTGTGCCCCCCCCCCCAAACACTGTAATAATTATTATATGGAGAACATGAACAGATCAGGAAGTTATAACATCATGACGTTGTGACTGTCAACATTAACATGGTGATATAATATTAGCTTTCCGCTGATAACATTAAACTGTTATGATCCAGACCACTTATCCAAAGTTGCCAAACATAAACTTTCAATGTTTCAGTATCATGCGTTCGTACCCTGATCTAATTCTTAGAAGATTTTAGCTCAGCGATAACTCACAAACCTTCTATGGTTTACCTGGGGTTCCGCCGTCAACATTAGACACGTGAGATATGTTGGTTACAGCCTGGAATCACTTTCGAGTCACATCTGATGTCAACAAACATCCATGTGTTGCAATCCGGAAATGAACTGTGTCAAGGGATACAACTCTGTCGAGTATACCGACAAACGACTATTTTCGCGCCATTTTACCAATTTGGTTAACTTGAATCACGGACTTAGAAAGCAGTCGATTTCCGTGTTTGAATTAGTGTTAGAGGCGAGCCTTTTAGAACTATCAACCATAGTTGGAAATATTTTCACTTACCTCGAAATCAGTGTTTATATTGAATTTGAAGCAAAATTTAACATAAACTGAAAAAAAAATCAGGTAGAGCTCTAGTGGCAACGGTCATTTCGCGACAGAAGCTGTCTCCGGCTGTTCATATTGAAATCCAATTTATCAACATTGCAACCCCGCCTGCCTGTCTACCCTTCCCCTACCCAAGAAAGAAAAAAGTTAGAAGACTCGTATTAAAATGCCACAGTGACATCCATGTAACTTATGTATATACTTTTGATTCTTCGGTACCCTCTATTTTAAAGTTTATGGAAATTAGTCACGGAAAAAAAATACTTTGAAAAGAACATGGACATCAGTATTTGTTACGGCAGCTATATTTGGACATATAATGATTGAGGTGATCAGAAAAAAAGCTCTCTTATCACACAGTAATTACTAAATACATACTAAATACAAAAAAGGGAAAGGAAATTGACATCCCTCAGTCCTCCCATGGAGGTGTTCGTATATATATATATATATCATTTTATTGGGATGACATTTTTACCGAAAACTGATCTTAAACCCTTAAACGTATAAAATTACTCTGAACACATTAATTTCCACAGAAGGGACATCCAGGCTCACGTCGTGTACACCCGTACGTTGGAATCAAGTACAGATACTATTCTAACGGGAAGATGGTGGGAATTAATTCAAAGACAGGACAAACTATGCCCAATCTGTAATACGGGTATTTGGGACGAGTTTCATTTCTTATGAACTTGTAATAACGATACTCTAGTCAAAATAAGGGAAACACATATTCCGGCCCATTTTTATACAATACAAGTCCAAACCAACATAAAATGATATTCTATAAATGTTTCTGTTTGCTTGTGAAGTTCTATATATGTTGAACACTGAATTGTTTGCATGTAACTACAAGTATATCTGTAATGATGTATGTACTATGTTGTGATATAGAATTTTTGCCTGTCATGCACTCAAACTATGTGATATTTACATAACCTCTTGTTAGACACATTTGTGTGTGTCTGGGTGAAAATAAAATCTTGAAATCGTGTGATATCTGATCATCTCAGAATCTACTAATTCAGTAACGTAGAAAACCAATGTAAGGCGGACTGTCATTTTTTTGTGTTCAGTTTGTTATGTCCCCGGCAACAACTATAGATACGGACTTTGATCGTTGCCTAGGGAGATAGCACCGAAAAGAATGAAAGAGAGGGTTGGAAAGAAAAACAGAAGACATAAAGAGAGGGTTGGTAAGAAACACTGAAGAAATGAAAGATAAAGGTCCCGAGGAAGTGTACGTGGCAACTTGAATGAATGCTCAGATAACTATAGTGTCTTGAATATTCCATAGACCTGATAATTTGTTTCAACACGGACTTAGATAACTAATTCCGTGGTTTCAGCTATGATTCATGATATATAAGCATTGGGGTTTGCTTTTTACCGAACGTCAATCTTACCCCTAAAACATGTAAAATTACTCCGAACACCTTAGTTAGGTCCAAATATAGCTGTATAAATTATCAGGTCCCTGTGCTCACCCCAGTCGCGCCGATTATGCAGGGAACACATTAATTAGTTGCAATCCACGTACAATCACTAGTAGTGGGATACAACACGGACTTAGATAATCTAATTCCGTGGATACAGCAGGTATTTGAATCCCCCAACCCGTTAGTTAGACCGTCTTCCGTCTTCACGGCCAAGTCTTTGAAGTCGAAGACTTATGTGACAGCAACTTAAAGCTTATATTGATAAAAATAGAAATCCGGTCATTTTGAAGACAGCTATATTGATGCCGACATCCAATTAAACAGAAAAGACTCCCATTAAAGGTTTTCCGGTGTAATTCCATTATTTTTACAATCTGATTGCAGATAAAGTGTAGACTTTTTATGTTGTCTTTTTCATTGAAATGAAATGGCCTAATTTTCAAGATTACCAAATGTTATGTGTGCGTCGAACTTCTTTCGTACAATCAGTAGAGAAGTAAGATTTATTTCGGTTAATTATACATCCATAGTTTCAAGGTTGTTTTACCTGTAAGTACACTTTCGTAAATCGCGTAGCTTTAAAACCGTTAACTAATGTCATAATTAACATAATTTCCATACAATCAAAATATGTACTGTTCATTGACGAAAAGGTCTTTGTACGTTAAATAATCTAAATAAGAAACCGACTTTAGAAGGATATTTTTATGAACTGTAGCGATATTAAGTTATAAAGCTTACAAAAATATATGTAATAGGTCGTATTTTAATTGTACTGCACAGTCGTAAGCCGTCCGGTAATAAAAAGAAAATGTGATCTTTATTGTGCTAGTATAATATGATCCAATGGCGTCGGGAGCCCCATGCTGTTTAAAGACTTTCAGTCTATAGAAAATTACATTATGACTTTATCTGGAGGTGTAAGAGAATTATAGATATACCCGCATGGCAGGTTTTTCTCAGGTACACACAGTAATATGCGACGCAAGGTGGCGTTGTTTGTTGACAGTCAGACCGTCACACTAAGCGTAGTGCGAGTATGCTTGGTTGATTAACGTGAAAAGGTCTATGTCTCTCGTGGATTTTAGCTTCGGACTGGGATAACGTGTAGGATTTTCTCAACACCTGGATTTCTTCTGTGGATTTATATAATTTCTGTGTTCGCATATGTGTTTTTAGGCCACCTAAACGATGTCTTCTTCTCAAAAAGGTAACACATGGGTTATATTTCCCGCAAAATTTCGATCGGAAAAAAATCGTCTGCAATTCTGGTACTGTTGTTAAAGCTCACCTGTTCATGTGTACGAGTATTATATTGCTATTAACATTTTTTTAACCACTCTCTAAAACATTTCAATATGCCAGAACCAATCCTATTTTTAGGGGAAGCTTAAATATTTGCCTTTGTTGTTAGTCCATACAGATTTAGAAAAAGGAGAATTACAGTGAAAACAGTGGCTATGGCTTTGTCGTTATAAAAGTGACAACCTTATTAAAAATCATATGTATCTGTTGAAATTTAGGGGGGGGGGGGGGGAGGGATAAAACCGTCATGTAGGCAGGTAGAATGGATCCATTTCATTATGGAAGGTAAGGTAAGCCCATCTATAATTGTTGTGAATATGGTCTATGTTTAAAGAAAAATATTGGAAGGAAATACATGTTTTTTTAAAAATGTTTTTATTTTTGTAAAATCAGGTACAATACCATCAAATAACAATTGTTTATTATTGTTATCAAAGGTGAGGTACTTTCGTTGGAAGTATAGAAAGTATTTAAATTCCAGGGGTTCCTGTTATAAACAACATTACATTTATATATAGCAATTAGTACCTGTGAAGCCTCAACACCAGGTTTCTGTACCTATCTAAAACTGTACAAGCATTTGTTGATAACAGTTTTATTTAATTCCAAACAATTTGTCATACTCATGCCCGGAGAAATACACACCTTCATAACAGAAATTGATTTGGTTTATCAAATGCATGGCTGGATAAATAAAAATAGACTAGTATTGCTAGGGGGTCGTCTCAAAAGGTATTTCTTTTCATTAGAGTTTTTATCATAACCCCTTGTCATAACTTTATTTAATGCTACACATTTTTGAGTGTTGTGGAAAATCTTTTTTTTTTTAAATCAAATAATGAAGAAATTGTAAATATGGCACCAGTGTTGTAACATTAAATATAATTAAATATAACACACCTGTAGAATGGAGACGTTGTATATATACACAAAAGTCTGTTTGTTCGGTAATAAATGTTTTTACATGATTAATTTGTTCTTTAAGAACAGGTGAGCTAGTGTGGATGAATTACATTCCCATTTAAGTCTGCCTGAAATTATAAAAAAAATAAGTATATTTCTACTTATTTTTATGTACCACAATTTGGAACATAGGCATTAAAGATATGTGTCTCATCACGAAATTGTATGAATATCATTATCAAGGTATGTAACTTCAAATTATTTGGTTTGAAATAAATTGTAGTGCAACCCTCTTAAAATCCCCTTAGCCCATCCCCAACCCTCCTACATGATTTAACTCGATGTACTTGATTATACATATTGAGTTGGTCTCTCTGTCCACCTGCCCCCTTCTCTCTCTCTCTTTCTGTTCTTTATCTCTTTCTTTGATATAAAATTATATTCCTTTGTTATTGCGTTTCTATGTTACTGACCAAAACCATAACCGACATTGGTCATGTACAGTACTTCAGTATATGTTGACCCATTTTAACTGGCAGTCTATTATAAATTCATTGAGCAATTAAATCATATTTCAAATCATTCACCTCAAATTTGGCTGTTTTACTTAACGCATGCCATGTCATGTGGGAACATATTGATGTTTTAATTTGAAAAAGTTTGTTTTTTACCCCTTTACCAATTATGGAGATGGTACCTGGGTTGGCATATATCTTAAGATACATTTACCTGTAACAGTGATTAAGCTGAAGTCAACACCTTTCCCTTGTAAAGAATGTTGCCCAATTTGTCAAGACATTCCAGAAAGATATAAAAAAAGATCTACACCTGCTGAATTCGCATTGAAATTCTTGATTTATTCATCTGTGTGACAGAACTCTGATAGAAACATTGGCCATTAAAGAGATCAGTGTCTTTGAAGATTTGGAACATACTCTTGTTGGCAAGAAACATGTTACAAGATCTGTTCTTGTGGTCACCTAGCTAACTGTTAAGACAGTCAAAAGCATTGACAGCTTTCTTCTAATTGAACATTCCAGGGTTTTCTTTCCCTATATTTTGGTTTCAAATTGCCCCCATTTCGAATGAGATAAAAAAAAATCCCCTAATTTGATTAAGGTCTAACAATCTTATTTGAATAAATAAAAAACTTTTTTTATACCTTGCTTCTATCAAAACCCACTTTGAGTTCCTAAACATTTTATAATGTGAAGGAAAATGTTCAATATCAATTTTCCCAGTTTTTAAGAAAGTTGCACATCTTCAAAACACAAAAAATCTCTGGTAAGAAATACTGTTATCATTTTCAGATTTAGTTTAAGCCAGATTAAATGTGAGGTACCAAGCTCCGAGCATAATGAAGAGTTGTGAGAAATTAGGAATTTTATATCTTTTTTTTTTGAAATTTTTAAACCAATATATTCCACATATATTATCCAAGATTGATGTTTTTCTGGGAAAGTATCTTTTTTTTTAGAATTAACTTCATTTATGATAGATGTGATATTCTCACTAATTGTCAAAAAATCCATGTGAAATTTATGAGACATGAAAACGCTTAAAGCTGACCGTACAATATTTCCAAACTGACCAGTTCCTAGACACCTGTGTCCTTGTCTACCTGGTAACACTGACCTAACATTACACAGGTGAGATGTTGACAGGTAGATAGTCGTTGCCACCTTATAAAAAGTCTATCCCTGGGGCAATGTGCTTACCTTTACAATCAGACATGATAGACAACTACCTGGTCGGTCTGGTCAAGCAGATTTAACTTTGATTAAATAAAAACATTCTGTACTGATTAAATTTTTTCACCAGGAAGCAATTTCTGCTCAATCGCTTTTTTTTCGTAATTTTTTATATTCAATCTACGATAAAATTATTCTTGGACCAGATTTAAGGTTAAATAAAATCATTTACTCTCTAGGTATACTATTCCTCCAACATTTTTCGACCTGAGGGAAACCCAATATCTGGAGTGTTGATATTTTGTTAGTCTACTGTAAATATGGAAACTAGATTTGACCCCAGGTCAAGTGGCAGTAATAGTCAATATTTAGGCTAGCTAGGGTACACTGATCTGGCTGATGTTAAAGGTTATGTTGACGGACTTTAAACACACATGTTAAGTAGTAAGTAGAGGAGTAGAGGTATTGTTGATATTTACTATATGGATTCAAATCAGAGCTATACTGCAGGGGAGGGGGGAGAGGAGATGGAGTAGAGGGGTGAAAAGTAGACTGGTGTAGGTAGAGAAAAGAGGAGTATGTGAGTATATTAGAGGAGAGACTGGGGAAGAGTAAAGGTGAGGTAGGGTGGAGGAGGGGTGAAGAGTAAAGGGGAGGTAGGGTGGAGGAGAGGTGAAGAGTAAAGGTGAGGTAGGGTGGAGGAGGGGTGAAGAGTAAAGGTGAGGTAGGGTGGAGGAGGGGTGAAGAGTAAAGGGGAGGTAGGGTGGAGGAGGGGTGAAGAGTGGGGGAAGGAGAGGCTTATGGTATTGGGTGCAAGAGGGAAGGATATGGTCAGAGTAGGGGAAGAATGAGGATACATTTTAGGAGATGAAAGTTAAGGGAAGAGAGTGAAAAGGTGAGGTAACAGTAATAGAAGAGGATGAAGATAACATATAGATTTATGAAAGGAGTGGTTATATATATTGAGTAATGAGTAGGTTTTATGAAATGATATGGGTTGGAAGGATCGCCTGTAACAGGTAACTCAGGGCAGTTGCTTGAAGAAGACGGNGTAAAGGTGAGGTAGGGTGGAGGAGGGGTGAAGAGTAAAGGTGAGGAGATTGGCATTAAAAAAAGACTATGTTGTTGAAATGTGATCAGTATGGGGAAGGGGCAAGTAGACAACCCAGTGCCCCCTCCCTTACATACATATTGTACAAATAAGTACAAACCTGACCGTTAATTTTGAGTACAGTATATAATGCTCCATTGTTTTAATGTGGCTGCATGTGGTGAAACATGGTGATATAGTTTAGTGCGTAAGACTTTTAGTGTTAATAGTCGGTGAAAATGCACACGGAACTTGTTTTATTGGCTGGGAGGGTTTTGTTAAAACTTTGCATGATCAATTTGTCCACAGCTGTTAAGCTGGCAACAGGTGGTCCACTACAGCCTTGTCTACTGTTACTGCACAGAACATTCATGTTACTCTGAAGTTGTAGCGAAAGAGGACGTATCTTCTGAGATAAATCTGTCTGGAGACTAAAAACATCTACCTGGATATATTTCCTGCCCTAAGTGCAGGGCCGTATAGCCTAGCCTGAGGGAGTTGGCGTGGGGGGTTTAGCCCCCCCCCCCAATATTTTTAATTTTTGAGATATCTTTCAGTGGCTGACTGATCCTTTCTGGCCCTGCCCTGCATAAAATTTGACAGCTTCTAGGGGGCTTTGACACCCAGATCCCCCATCTGGGGCTTCAACTCTCGACAAAAGTTTCAATCGTCCTTGCAATTCCAGGGGGTTATGCTCATATATATGTCATGCACCCCTGGACTACGTCATGACAAAATCAAAGGCTCTGTATACACCACCTTGTGGATGGTACAGGTAGACTATATAGAAAGATTCTTGGGGCAGCATCAAAACGGTACAATTGGCAGGATTTGAAGTCGGGGCTCACTCCTCTGTTATCTATCAGCCTAGCAATTGGTCTGGTTTTTTCATCTGAAACCAATCAATTAGATATAGCTGTGTGTCATTGGTTTTGCCATGACATATTCCAGGTTACAGAGGTTGTAAGTGAGCATATGTAACCCCCATGGAATTTTGAGGATGAGTTTCATTTTTCGAACCCCACCCCACCCAACCCAATTACTTGACCCAGGTATGGACATGAAACAAAATTGAATTCATATTGAATCATAAATTTTGTCTTGTTCTGTAAATAAATCTTTAATTAATCTTGTCTAAAAAATCTTGTTATACTTCTTGCCTTGAGACTCCGTTCTTAATGTTCAACTGTTGCATAAAGAAACCTACATATTGACTATAGGAGATCTTTTGTCTTCATAAACTTGAGATTTCTTGATTGCGGTGTCCGGAGAACTTTTCAGTCTTGAGAAACTTAATATTGCTGTGAAAAACCTGTTTGAGACATCATGTAATGTATAAAAACCATCCTTTTTGCGATATTTCTTATCTTGACAGATCCCTCGTGTTACAAGCGTTAACCCTACCTTTTCTAAACCCTACACTTTCCAAACCAAATTTTTCCAAACATGGCATTTTTCTACCGCACCCTTTTCAAACCTTTCCAACCGTAATAAACATCTTAATTACTGCTTCATTTTCCAAATCTTACATATGATTTTCCAAACTCTATACTTTTTCCTGGAGACATATTGAGACTGGAGGTACATTTTTCTTCCAATCGTAGAATTAATGAATTTAAAATAACTATGGCATATTTTTGTGTGTAAGTTATGTATATCTGATCCTGACAACAGTTCTCATAGGGAAGTTTACTGGAGAAAGTTTAGATGCCTATAAAATTAAAAGGTTTTTATAACACTTATCGCTATTTAACCCAGTATCAAAAGGCTCACAGGCCCCAAGGGCCTCTTGTTTGTAAAAAAATATTTCTATATTATGAATTATTATTGAGTGACATGTAATTTTTTCTGATGGGAAAAATACATTTGATTCACTTAGTTATCTGTACAGTGAATTTTAATGGAACATGACAGAAAAGGATCATGATGTTTTATTTCATTTTTATCATGCTTATATAGAGCGAGTGGACTTTCTACAGCTTTATCAATTGATAACTTTCTCCGAGCAAATTTTATGTTTTTTCACATTAATGATGACATTGCAGTATTTGTTGGAGAGTGCTCTACTTTTATAAAATGGCTTTTTCAGGTGATAACAAGGCAATTATATTTTTCATTTGAAACATATTTCATTGATCATTTGGTAAAAAAGTCTATTTTGTTAACTCATGCAAGAAAATTTCAATATGAAAAATATTTCTGTCCTTTCTGTGTCCTTAGAACTCATGAGCATTGGACATTCTAGTACTTTATAGCTTTATCTATTTGGTTAAGATTGACTTTCATCAAGAACAGATTCATCATTAAATTTGAGAACAATTAATGCATCTGGAATTTAGTGCCATATGAAATAAGGATGTTTCCAATTTGATTTACATGAAAACCCTCAAAAATTCAAAACATTCTGTAATTGTCTTCCACCAAACCATTCTGTAACCCCTTCCCCCGACCCCTCTTTTAACAGCCCC